TCCCTTTGGTGCGCTCCTTTCAGAGTTCTGACGAACCAGAGCTCTGGCTTGAGGGCACAAGAACAAGCTGCTCATATTACTCTTGGCTTAAGGACGCTCCTTGCCCTCTGCCAGGGAGAGAAGAGGTCCTTGGCTGTTCTGCCCTCCACCCTGTAAGCTATGTGAGGCCAACAACCTCTTCTTCCCAGGGATGGTGCGCACATTGCTCGGCCAATGTTCGAGTGCTTCTGAATGGATGCCCGTCAGATAATGTCTCTGTGACTCACGGCAGACTAAATCCAGAGTGTCCCCTCCTCCGTAGGAGACCTTCTGGAGCACAGGACTAACACGCTAAGGCAAGCTGCTCACCGTATATAGCCCACCATGTGGACGGGCCGATCTCAAGCTTTCCCGCCAAAGGGGGGGAGCCAGCCAGCATGCGCCCGAATGTCAGGAGATCATCTGGTGTGAAAGTCATCCAACTCAGACAAGAAGACTGACACCCAAAGAACCGGTTCTGTATTGTGAAAGATAGGGAGCCACCCTGGAACCAAGGGGCCACAGCTAACAAGTTTAAACAGTGACTCTGTTACAGATTAATTGGTTTAGTTGCCTGAGGTGAATCTGAAACGAAGTCCTGATATTTTTAAAATGAAGTCTCAAAAAGCCTGGACCTGTGGGTATAAAAAAGTTTTGGGGGGCTGTCTGGGGTGGCTCAATTGGTTAAGTGTCTGCCTTCAGCTCGGGTCATGATCTCCGGATCCTGGGATCCAGACCAGCATCAGCTCCTTGCTCAGCATACAGTCTGCTTCTCCCTCCCCCTGTACCCTTCCCCTGCTGTGCACTCGCTTGCATAAATAAATAAAATCTTAAAAAAAAAAAAAAGTTTTTTGCATCCTACAATTTACTCCCTTCTTTAATATTTAAAAACAAAGCATATCACTTGGGTTTTCATTTTCATTTAAGTACACCCTAATCTAGCAGTAGTCACTCAAAATCTTTGCATGTGAATTTGATAAGTAAGCTATCTCAAGGCCTATAGGACATCTCTCACCAGTTAAAAGGAATTCTCATCTTCTTTCTTCTACCTCCTTCAGGAATTACAATGATTCCCTTTTATGCTTTGGGATGGTTTGTTGCCGCGATCCCTTAAACTCTGGTAGGTGGGCTTACGACCCAATCAGCACCAAGTTTTGCTCTGACCCCATCTATGTCCAACCTGGTGTAGGGGAGGAGGAGGAGGGGAGGCAGAAGCTCACCAGAAATCCACTTTTGCTGCTGGCCCAGGCTCTGACAGCTCCATGCTCTCAGCCCCAGACTTCCCTCCCACCCCATCCTTGACGGTGTCTGATCCCACCACCAGCCTGTGCGGGACCTTCAGACTCCATTCTTCTATTACCCATTCCTTTTCTTCCTTTCATTCCATCACTACTCGCAGACTCATCTGCCTGCAATACCCATTTTCAGAAGAGGCTGCTCCTGGATCCAAAGGTCTAGCCAATGGCTCTTCAAATTAACCTAGACAGGGATACCTGGGTGGCTCAGTCGGTGAAGCATCTGCCTTTGGCTCAGGTCATGATCCTGGGGGTACTGGGATCAAACCCCAAATCAGGCTCCCTGCTCTGTGGGGAGCCTGCTTCTCCCTCTCCCTCTGCTTGCCACTCCCCTGGCCTATGCTCTCTTTCTCTCTGTCAAATAAATAAATTAAATCTTTAAAAAATTGATCTAGACAGACCCCAACTTACCTTATTATCCTTATTTTCCTCTTCCCCCGCCCCTGAAAAACCCTAGCTATAATCCATAACTTTCAAGTACTGTAATGAACTGTAATGAAAGCAGCATAACAGAGCTCTTGATAGCCCACTAACGGTAGATACAATTTTGCCTCTTTGGATTCAGCTGTTTTCTTATATATAAAACATGATGGTTACGAGGAGATCTTTACAGAAGAAGAAAACTAACATTGACCGAACACTTAGCATGGACAAGTGGACACTCTGCAAATAAGCTAAGCAGCGCTCTTAATGCCCACCAGGGAGGGCAGATACTGTCACTCCTGTTTTCTAGAAGGCTGAAGGTCGGGAAAGTCACAGGAACTTGCCCAAAGCTGCCCGATCTAAGCCGAGGAGCCAGGCCCAGCCTCTGCCACATCTGCAGCCTCCCTGGTCCTTTCCAGAGCCATCATGCTCTCCTCTGTCCCACCAAGGCCTGGGCCCTAAACAGGTCCCAAGGGGTCCCTAGTCACTGTGGTGAAGTTCATCTTCACCAGGGGATGTGGGGATCTCAGCCAACAGGAAGAGGCAAGCTGAAACCTGGAAATGTGCACGTCACCTGTGAACATGATTAAAGGCCGTACAGACACAGAAAACCTCGCTTCCCTCCACAGCTCAGAGTCATGGAGCAGCAGCAGAAAAATTCTGTGGCAGATGGAAGTTCCTCCCCAACATGCAGGGAGAGGCAGCCCTTGGGGTCCCCCTGCTGCAGGCAGGGTCAGCTGCCACCATGAATGCCAGGGCACAGCCCTCTAAACACAGCCTAGATCAAACCATGCTTCAAAGTTAAAAAAAGTCTTGTTGGATTCTGTTCCAAACTCCAGCTTCTCTGTCCCGTTCTGCAGCCTATGTCTTCACTGCCTTTCATACATGGGGCTAGGGCTCAATGCTAACATCCCCTTTATCACCGTGACTTTTTAAAAATTGTATTTATTCACTTGAGAAAGTGAGAGAGAGGAGGAGAGAGAGAGAGCGAGCACAAGTTGCGGGGGGGTGAGAGGGAGAGGGAGAAGCAGGCTCCCCATTAAGCAGGAAGCCTGATGTAGGACTCAATGCCAGGAACCTGGGATCATGACCTGAGCCAAAGGCAGACACTTAACCAACTGAGCCACCCAGGCGTCCCTCCACCCTGACTTTTAAGAGGAAATGTCAGAAGCGGTAACTTATCAAGAACCTCTGTGCCGCTGCTTTAGGAAGGTGTAGCTTGGAATCACGCGGTGTGGGTAGTCATGAGATGCAGCAAAACCAAAAAGTGCAGATTCCTCTCGTTTTAATATCCAGGTAAGGTTTATGGGAAGCGGGAGAGGGTAAAAATCTGGATGTGAGATGGAGGCAGGGGGTGGGGGGATCAGGATGTGGACTGGCAAATGGCGCTTACTTGTTTTCAAAGTAGGAACCAAACAACAATATTTTATTCTGGCAATCAGTTCCTCTGACCATGCCAGATAAGCAGGCTTTTCATGAATATGTAATGAAATGAATTAAGGGCTTCTTTCTGCCATAAGCAGTCCATACGGCCATGCTAGCTATATAAATGCATCTATAACTACACCAAGCTCTCTTGAATTCGATATTTTAAGGTCTTTTTTTAGAAATGCAAAGCAATAACACCTACAAGTTCTGAAAACCAGAACTAAGTCCATTTCTATAGGCCAAGAGAAAAATCAGGAAGCCTCTCTACCAGGGAGTGGAATTAATAGATTTTAATTTTCTTTCCGCTTCTCAGTAATTTTTAAACTATTCCACAGAGGACACGCATGCTTATTTTCCCAAGTCTCAGAATGACTTTATGCGAAGCTGGAGCTTAAAGAGCATACTGTAAGTGCTTCCACAATTTCTCATATAATACGAATTAGGCATTTACAGTTACTGCTAAATTATAAATATCTTAAATCTGCGCTTGGCAAATATTCTTTTCACAGCAATGGCAATGCTACTGTGAGACACCAGGTCCTCCTCCAGAAGAAAAGGAATCTCAAAAACCTCACACACTTCTATTAGAAAAACTGAATTCTCCTCCTTCACGGTTAGTGATTAGCTGAGGTAAAATATTAAGCCATGTTTACCTTCTAAATAAGGCATAAAACCAACTTTTCTTGGCAATAATTCAGTCATTCTATTTTTACATTTTGGCATGTATTAGACTGACATATCTACTATATATTTAAAAAGCTTCAAATGAATGAATCCAAGCAATTGTCTAAAGGAAAGCAAAGAACTAAAACTATAAATAACAAAAAGGTACTCATCAGGCCAAGGTTCATTTGAAAGGGCACCTCTCCTGCTCACGGCCATCAGCCTGGGGAGCAGGGCAGGATGGAGAAGAAGAAATATTCTTTATATGTGCTGAAAGTTAGAAATACTGAAAACTGATTCTGCCCTGGGTAGAGAAAGCGAGAGACTACAACACAGAGAGTAGCCCAGGAGTCCCAGCACCCAAGACACCCCGGCTGCTTCATCTTCTCAACCCCTCATGTTTTATACTAAAGAGATTCAGAACAGAAGGAGGGCAGAGCCAAAGCACTAAGAATCTTTCTAAAAAGGGTCCTTAACTTTCCGCATGCCATCGCTACCATTCAGCCCTAATGAGGGAAATACATTGCGTTTCACTTTCATGACGACAAGAACATGGCTGACGGTGTGCCCAAGTTCTACACCACTGTAGTTACTCAACTTCTGATACCAACTGAATGTTCTTGGCTTGTTCTTGGCCTACCCAAAACTCTGTGGCCGTGTTATTCTGGCAAGTTCCTAGCCTCGCCTTTTCCTCGGTGAAATCTCAGAGTCTCTTTCAAAAGCTAGGGAGGTGTTCTAAGTATCAGGTATACCACAGAGGAAATCCTTCTTTCCGGTGTTTGTTCGACAACTCTCTTCTCTGTTGGAACATAAGCCCCTTGGGAGCAGGGACTCTATGCCTCTCCTTTCCCGCTCACAGAATCCTCTGGGCTGACTATAGGGTCTAGCATTGGGTCAAAACTCAGTAGGATTCCTGCAGTGAGCCTCTGGGTGACTAGAGGGAGACACCCCACCAACACCACCCATTTTGTGCCTCTGCTCTGTATTTTGGCCCTTACCCCCTTCTATTAGCCCACTGGCCAACTTTGTGTGTTGAGCACATTTTGGCTTACAAAGTGCCCTTGCAAGCAAGTATCGGCCAGTGACTGATGTTGACCAACATAGCACTCGACAGGGAACCTGGAGAAATACAGAGAAAACGCACACGGCAGGCAGGCCAGCCCCTCCACTTACCGGCACCTCCACAGACTGCATGGATAGGTCGCATGGTGGCTTCAGGGCTTTGGGCCTCGTGGCGTACCAGAAGGTGGTGAGGGCGGCAAAAGCTCCAAAGCCCATGAGCGTGTTGGTCGGCAGTGTGCGAACGTACTGTCGGAAGTCAGCCAGCTCTGGCATTCGAAAATACCGGAATAGCTCGTGGGCTTGCATCGTCCCGTGATGGTCGCTCCCTAAGCTGAACTCTGTCAATAGAGAAGAATGTCACATTCCTTCCAGAAAGGCAAGACCTGTGTCCAAAACTCCTAAAGGCCAACCATCCAACTTGATTCCTGACTGGTCAAGGCACTGAACCCACAGTCTAACGGTCCAGCTCTTTCCTTGGCTGTCAAGTTTCATGTCTCTAAAAACCCTTTAGAAAGTCATTGTACGTTTGTACATGTAGGGGTGCCTGGGTGGCTCCGTGGGTTAAAGCCTCTGCCTTCGGCTTGGGTCATGGTCTCAGGGTCCCGGGATCGAGCCCCATGTCGGGCTCTCTGCTCAGCAGCGAGCCTCCTTCCTCCTGCCTACCTCTCTGCCTACTTGTTGTCTCTGTCTATCAAATAAATAAATCAAAAATCTTAAAAAAAAAAAAAGAAGAAGAAGAAGTTCATTGTATGTGTATCAGTTTGTGTCAAGCTTCCATTCCCCATGTTAAAAGGTTTCGCTCAGGAAGAATTCTTGCCACAACATGCTCCAGTGGTGTAAGTCACCACCTCCTTCCCTGATACCGTCTCTGTTTCCTTCCACCCAATCAGATATACTCAGCTCTCATTATCACGGCTAATGAGAAGAAAGGGGAAGAAGCACAAATAAGCCCATACTACCTAACGGCCATCCGCTCCCGCTTCTGCCCACACATCTCAGAACGAGTTCCCAATGGATACAGCACGCCAACCTAAATTTCAACATGCCTCTTGCCTTCCCCATACTCTGTACCACAAAAGCAGCAACATAAATGCCAGGGAACCAGAGTTCACTATTCGGATTGAATAATTTCTTTTATATTCCTTGATTATATTATAATGCTAAAAGGGTGTACATGAAGTTCAAACCAACCACCAAACGCCTAGAGAGAGATTGCAGCGTAGTAGCTGAGAAGAAGTGTAGAAGGGTATTTAAGATCCCAGATTCAAGAGCCAAATCCTGTCTTCCCAGCTTATTAGCTAGAGGACCGGGGACACATTACTTCACCTCCCTGAGTCTCGTAGCCCTAAGAGTAAACGGAGGCTGAAAAGAGTAGTGATCTCGTGGGGTTTTTATAAGGACTAAATGCACGGGGCACCAGAAATGACTCAATACGTTCCAGGCACTATCATTATTTCACCTACCAAGACTCTGTGATTGTCCTGTGTGTAGAACAGGAAGGGACAGAGTTAATTAAAAACAAGGCTAGACCACAAAGAGTTCACCAACAAAATTAAGAGGCCAAAAACGCACAGAAGAAAACTAGATAAAAAGCCTCACACTGGATGTTACAGACAACTCATACCAATATAAAAAGTGTGCAGTACAGATAATAAGTAATTCTAAGGAGAAAACTATTGATGAGAAGGTCCTCTACAGCACGTGTGGCAGTAAAGGGGAGGACATTGTGGTAAATGCTGATGGCTTTTCTTGAACACCGCCGGCCGATTCACAGAGTACGAACATTTTAGCTATCATTCAGGAGGTATCTGTGAGCCACTTACAGTGTGTTCTTTTAAAGAGCTAGGTCACAAAGCTCAAGATAATTTTCTTTTTTCAAATACAGACATGTTTACGTTTCCAATCTATACTACTGTAATTATTTTTTTTTTATGGAGTGGCAGGGGGCCCATTGTTTTCACCGGCCACCAGTCCTGTAGTATATCTGGTCAGCTTGGGCAGACATGTGTTACAACAGCTCTGTGTAGGTGTACACACACACACACACACACACACACACACACACAGGAAATTTCCAGGTTTTACGTAACAAATGAGAAGGAACAGATAAGCAAGATCTCTTTAGGTCACAATGGTGGAGAGAGAGAGCTCTAGGACTTATAAAACCACTCACCATCTGTGCCACCCAGGGCTGACTGCTAGGTGACAAGCCACCACAGAGCAGAAGAGGTGGCGAGGGCTGGGGGTGGGAGGGGGCTGGAGGAGCTCAGCCGCCGCTTATCCAACCTGCCAAGGTCTCTCAGGGCATCAGTCACATGCTGACTCGCGCGCTGCTGCCCACTGGGCTAAAGGTAACTAGCAGACAAAATTCATACTTGACTTCCCAGGAGGAGAGAGGGTGGAGGATGGGCCAATGAGCAGCTGGGAGCAAAGTCACCCCACTGCTCCACCCATGGGCAGGGACGGGCATCAGTGTCACTGCCAGTGCCAGATCTGAAAACAGACACTGTTTTCTTTCTGCTCAGTTTCCCCATGAGAAGAGACAATGGACATATTTAAAAAAAAAACAAACAGCAAAGTACACGATCAGATGTTGGGTGGTTATGTCGAACCAACATGAGACAGACCAAGAAAGAAACAGATTGTCTGTAGTACACTCCCAGCAGATTTATTCTAAATGAATGCATAGGAACTGAGTTACTCTGCTACAAGGTTGGTGCCCATCACGGAGCATCCGGCGTATGCCAGGCCCGGTGCCCGCAGTGGGGAGGACGATGCTGGTGACCCGGTGCAGGTTCTCCATGGGCTCACCAGCTGGTGGGGAAGGTGCAAAATTAAGCCAGCAATGTCTGCAAAGTGTGAGAAGCGTTCCCGTCGGTGGAGCCGGAGGAGACGAGGCAAGGCCTCTGTGAGGAAGAGACCGTGAGGATAAGCAGACAAATCAAGTCTGGCCCCTGTGGTCAGGTTGCAAAAACAGCACTGCTACCCTACAGACGCAAAGCAACCAGACGTGTACAATGAGCAAACGTGCCTTTCCCTGCAATCGTTCCACCTTCCAGCCATCTTCATACCCACGGCGCCCCAGATCTGAACAGGACTTTCCCACCCACCCCCTACACACCCCTCTGCCCTTGTCTCTTCTCTCCCACAGGTCCCTAAGGTGATTTCCATAAAACCTAGACTGTGTGAATTCGCAGGGGCTGTTCAACAGAATCCCATCCCTGTGTGAGAATAAAAAATAATTCCCCCGTGAACAAATGCTGTTATAAGCTGGTGATTTTTTTTTTTTTCTATTTTAAGCATCAGCAGTAGCCAAGCTGTAGACAGCATTAGACTAAGAAAGGAAAAAAAAAAGTCTCTTTCTAGAGATAAGAAATAAATTAAGATACTAAAAAACTAAGAAAGAAAACTTGAAAAAAACAAAAACTTCAGAAAATTACTGATTTAGGGGCACCTGGGTGACTCAGTGGGTTGGGGCTCTGCCTTCGGCTCAGGTCATAATCTCAGGGTCCTGGGATTGAGGCCAGCATCGGGCTCTCTGCTCAGCGGGAGCCTGCTTCTCCCCACCTCTCTTTCTCTGCCTGCCTCTCTGCCTACTTGTGATCTCTGTCAAATAAATAAAATAAAAATCTTTAAAAAAAATAAAGAAAACTACTGATTTAGTAGCACCCGGGCTAGACCATTTAATCAGACATGAGTCTGTAACTCTAAGGGTTTAAATCCAGCTGCATTCTTATCTTTACCGGGTAATGAGGAGGTATAGCAGTTTAATTCATGCCTCTCAGAGGAAAGCCAGGCGACAAGCTACAAACCAGCTTCACTGAACCCACTGGCTAATGCTGTACATAGGAAAACTATAGTCTTTCCAGTAAAGAACCAAAGCAAATCTTTTAGATCCACATGAAGATCCACATGTGGATCCACATGAAGAACAACTTTTTTTAGATCCACATGAAGAACAACTCCTGTAAAGCATTATAAATCTCCCTTCTACGGAACGGCTATGAAGGAAAAAGTACTTGGGGTGTTTAAAAATGAAGGCAGACCCACATCCAAAGAAAAGCGGCCACAATAAATAGCCTTTTAATGCTGCAGGTGAATATAAACACCACGCTTTAAGACAGTCCCCCAACAGGTCTTGAGGAAGAAGAATCAAGACTCGTCCTTGCCAACAAATGATTAAAAACCAGACAGATTTTATTCTTATTCTAACGGTGTTCCAGCTGAAATATTTTTAAAATTCTTTCAAAAGCAAATTTCCGCATCATCCTCTCCTCACGTTTGCAGGCCTGGCAAATAACAATGCTGCTGTTTGCTAAGAATAATGATTCAATCAGCTTAAAGGCTTACGCAGTCAGTATTTCTCGGTCAAGAACACACAAGCCTACAGGCAGCGAGTTTCTCCTTCCCCGGCAATGCTCTTGCGGCTCCTTCCTCCCCACGCCTATGAAAAGGGGGTTTGCTCACTCAGGTCCTGGAGTCTAAAACCACAGGAATGGGGGCGCCTGGGTGGCTCAGTCGGTTAAGCGTCTGCCTTCAGCTCAGGTCATGATCTCAGGGTCCTGGGATCGAGCCCTGCATCAGGTACTCTGCTCAGCGGGGAGCCTGCTTCCCCCCCCCACCCACCGGCCTGCCTCTCGGCCTACTTGTGATCTCTGTCAAATAAATAAAATCTTAAAAACAAACAAACAAAGCACAGAATGGACAGCGAACATAAGAACAGTGGTCAGGGAGGTGTGGTGCATGTCCAGGGCAAAGTACCAGAGGGAAGGGTGCCTGGGCTTCCAGAAACAGATACACAGAGCCAAGTCACAGAAACTGGATTGCATGACCATCAGAAAACAGAAATCCTGGTACTTATCGACCCAAACTGTGGGGAGCCTAGCTAGTGGCCCAGCAAACGCTGATTTAGTGTTCAGGAAGTGAAGCTTTCACACTCTGTATCGCACTGTCTCACAATACAAAATGATTATAAGGAAGCTGAGGCTGGAGATTTATGGGGCTTCCCCGAGACACCGACCTAGCTCTCAAGTAGTGCTTTTTCCTGTACGTGAACCATTCCTACCCTCTGCCCCTGGTCCTTAGCACCGGGAACATGCGCGTACCCCTCTGCGCGGGGCGGGGGGTGGGGATGGTGTGCAACTTGCAAGTCTCCTGCCACCCACCACGGCTCAGGAACCGTGAGGGCAGGTGCTCTCTAAAGGTCCTTCTGGCACTCGCTTTCCATAACAGGAGCAGAGCCTAGCATCTGAACTCCATGTGAATGCTCCATGTCTTATATAACCGCCCGCATTTGCCCCATCATCCTGCACTCTGAACATAAGGGCCCAAGGCCACC